TTCTCTCTCCTCTCGCTTTCTAGTCTATCTCTGTCTCTCTCTCGATCTATCTCTATCTCTGCGGGTTCAAGGACTCTCTCTCTCTCTCTCTCTCTCTCTCTCTCGCTTCTAGATCTGTCTCTTGTCCTCTCTCTCGATCTATCTCTATCTCTGCGGGGTTCAAGGACCTCTCTCTCTCTCTCTCTCTCTCTCTCTCGCTTTCTAGATCTGTCTCTGTCTCTCTCTCGATCTATCTCTATCTCTGCGGGGTTCAAGGACCTCTCTCTCTCGCGTCTCTCCCTCTCTTCTCTCTCTCTCCTCTCTCTCATCTCTCTCTCCTCTCCTCTCCTCTCTCTTCTCTCTCTCTCTCTCTCTCTCACCTTCCTCTCTCTCTCTCTCTCGATCTATCTCTCGATTTATCTCTGTCTCTCTCTCGATCTATCTCTCGATCTCTCTCGATCTATCTGTCTCTCTCTCGATTTATCTCTGTCTCTCTCTCTCGTCGCTTCTCTCTCTCTCTCTCTCTCTCTCCTCTCTCCTCTCATCTCTCCTCTCTTCCTCTCTCTCTTCATCTCTCAAATTATCTGTCTCTCTCTACTTACTTTTCTTCTCTCCCCTCTTTCTTTCCATGTGTCTCTTCTCTCCCCCTCTCCTCCCTTCCTCTCATCTTTTCCTTCTCACTCTGATTCCCCCTCTTTCTTCCCCTTTTCCCTGTGTTTCCTATTTCCCTCGTTCCTCCTTCCCTCTCTCTCTCTCTTCTTTCTTCCCTCTCTTCCCTGTGTCTGTAATATCCTTCTCTATCTCTCCTCCCTCTCTCTCCTCCTGCCTCTCTTCTCTCTTCCTTCCTCCTTTCTCTCTCCCTCTCTCCCTTATTCTCTTCTCCCTCTTTTTACCTCTTTCTCTCTCTCTCTCCCTTTCTTTTTCATTCTTCTCTCCTCTTCTTTCTTTCATTTTGTATTTTGTGTCTGTACTTTCCCCTTCTCCTCTGTCTCCTTTCTCTCTATTTCTTCTTACGCCTCATTTCTTCCCCTTTTCCCCCGTCTCTTATTCCCCGTCCCCCTGTCTTCTCCCTCTCTTTCCCCTTTTTCCATTCCCTCGTTTCCCTATGTTTGCACTTTCCTTCTCCCTTCCTTGTCCTTCCTCTCTCCTTCCTCCGTCTGTTTTCTCTCTCTCATATATTCTATTCCCTTTCTCGTCCCACTTTCTTCAACTTCCCCCCTTCCTTTCTCCTTTACCACCTTGTAAAGAAATTTATTATATATATTTATATAATATATTTACTATATATATATATATATATATCATATATATACGATAGATAGTATAGATAGATATGATAGATAGATAGATAAGATAGATAGATAGATAGATAGATTTAATAAAATAAATACTAATATCCTTTCCTTATCCTCTCCCTCCCCTATTATGTTCTTTCCCCCCTCTGCCTTACCCCCTCCCTCCCTTCTAAGCACTATTTAGATTTTTTTTGTCACTGTGTTTTTAGCTAAGGGATGGGGAGGGGGAGGGGAGGGGGTGCAAGGGAAGGGGTCCGTTATTTCTTAGTACGAGAATGATTTTGACGACCACCCCTTCCATATTCGACCCCCTCTACCCCCACCCCCCACCCAGATCCCATCCTTTAAACCCTCACCCCTACCCCCCCTCCACCTCCACCACCCGTTCTCAGAGACTCCTTCCTCTTCTTTTCTTCTCGTCGTTGTAGACAAAATGGCCTGTCCTCCTCTTCCTCTGGCGACTGTTGTCAATCTGTTGTCAAGATGGTGGAAGGATCCGATCGCTTCTCGGTGCTGAAAAGGGCGGTAGGATTCTTTTTCTCCTTTTTGCGTCCTGTGTCCGTCTGTGCCTCTCTACTCTCTCTCTCTCTCTCCGGTTCTCTCTTCTCGAATCTCTCTCTCTCTTCTCTAAATCTCTCTCTCTCTCTCATCTCTCTCATCTCTCTCTTCGTCCGTCTCTTCCCGTCCGTCTCTACTCTCATCTTTATCATTTCATCTTCCCTCATTGTTTTATCTTTCTTTCTTCTCTCTTTTTCTTTCTTCTCCGTGGAATGCTTACTCTCGCCTCCCTCGCTCTCTCGCTCCCTCTTCCTCTCTCTTCATCCTCTCAGTCTGATGCTGAGCGGGGCGGCGGGGTTTCGATGCTGCTCCCTCTGTCCTCTTCTTCCTCTCGTCGTCGCTCTCTCTCTTCTCTCTCTCTCTCCTCTCGTCTCTCTCGTCTCTCTCTCTCTCTCTCTTCTCGTCTCATCTCGTCTCCTATCTATCTATTCTATCTATCTTCTATCCTCTATCTCTCATCTCCTCTATCTATCTGTCTCCTACAATTCTCTATCCGTATCTGCTATCTCATNGTCTCTCTCTCTCTATCGACTCATCTCGTCACTACTCCACTAACGATTCGATGCCTCATAAACTACGTTACGACCATGACTCAGCGTCTCTCTATCTTCCTATCGATTCTAGATATCCTCGTCTCTCACACGCTGATGTCCATACTTCGCCGCATCACACGCTGAGCTACTATGCTACCTACGATATTCCTCGTCTAACCGACAATCGACTACCACTGGACACCACAGCTCAGAACCCTGCTACCACATCATCTTTCTCTCACATGTCGATCCTGCTATACTCCTCTCGCTCCTCTTCTCTAACGGCGCATCGCGCTACTACTAGTCCTGTCCTCTCGGACTCCTTCTCCTCATCCTCGTCGCTCTCTTCTTCCTTTTTCTCTTCTCTCTCTTCTCTCTTCTCTCTCTCTTCACTCTCTCCTCTCTCTCTCTCTCTCTTTTCTCTCCCCCTCTCTCATCTATCTATCTATCTATCTATTCTATCTAAGTCTTCTATCTATCTATCTATTCTCTCTCTCTCTATCTATCCGATCTCGCTTCTCCTCGCTCTCTCGCCTCTTCTCTCTCTCTCTCTCTCTCTCTCTCTCTCTCTCTCCTCTCTCTCATCTCTCTCTCCTCTCTCTCTCTCTCTCCTCTCTCTCTCTCTTCTCTTCCTTCTCTCTTCTCTATCTATCTATCTATCTATCTTATCTATCTATTCTATCTCTCTCTCTCTATCTAGCTCTATCTCGCTCTCTCGCTTCTCTCGCTCTCTCTCTCTCTCTCTCTCTCTTTCTCTCTCTCTCTCTCTCTCTCTCTCTCTCTCTCTCTCTCTCTCTCTCTCTCTCTCTCTCTCTCTCTCCTCTCTCTCTCTCTCTCTCTCTCTCTCCTCTCTCTCTCTCTCTCACTATCTTCATTTATCCATTTGTTTCCCACCCTTTTCCATCCACTAACGCAATAATTCTCTGAGAACGGCTCTATTCACATTTGCCTTCTATAGAGGAATACATGAATATGATAATGTAATATACGCTATAGATAGAGATCGTTTATCTGTGAACATGGATGCGTGTACGGCTGGGCGGTTGTATGCATGTACTGTATCCATCCCTGAAATGCATCCAGTGTGCCTGTTATTAAACCACTTTTGGTCTGACTTTGGAGCGGGGTTTGGATGGGGAGAAGAGAAGAAAAAGGGACTAATCCGGGAGGCAGTCCTCGCGAGGACGCAGGGGAGAGAGACGCGAAGGAGAGCAGGGAGGGATGGGACGAGATGAGAGAAGTAGAGATAGAGAGAGGAGGGGGAGAGAGAGAGAGAGAGAGCCAGAGAGGGAGTGGAGGGAGGGCAAAGATGACACGCCGAGGAAAGAGAGAGAGAGTGAGAAGAGAGAGAGAGAGAAAAGACGATCGTCACCCATCGAGCAGAGAGACGAGAAGATGAGAGAGCCAGACATAGAAGATGCAGGAGAGCGAGAAGCAAAGAGAGAGCAGAGAGAAGAGAGAGATAGAGAGGAGCAAGAGGAGAGAGAGAGAGGGAGGTCGAAATAATCTTGACAAACTAGAGAGACAGATCCAGACACAGAACCAATAGGCAGACAGAAAGACACGGCGAGAGGAGAAAGAGAGAGAGAGAGAGAGAGAAGAAGAGGACAGAGAGAGAGACAGGAGAGAGAGAGAGAGAGAAGAGAGCAGAGCAGAGAGAGAGAGAGAGAAACTGATGGATAAGTACACGAAATGCGGATGGTAAATGGGTAGATAAAAAAAGACAAGGAGGCGAAGAGATAGACCGCGAGATAGCCTATAGAGAAACAAAAACAAATAAGGAGACACATACTGCAAGGACAATATTTTCCTAGAGTAAAATCAAATAAAACAAAAAGAAAAGGAATAATTTCTGACAAAACATGCGCAACAAAGAAACGAAAACAAAACATGACGCAAACGGAGTAATATGATTACAGAGAAAAAAACTTGAGCCAGCATATCAGCCTCCCCTCCCCCTCCTCCCTCACCCCTGCGCACCGACTCTCCCCTCTCTCGGCCCCGTGGTGCCCCTCTCCTTGCCCACTACCGACTTCGCCCTACCCTCTCCCTACCCCCTCTCCCCTACCCCCCTCTCCCCTCCCTCTCCTCCTCCTCGCCCCTACCTCTCCCCTACCGCCTCTCCCTCCCTCTCCTACCCCCCTCTCCCCTCCTCCCCCTCCTCCTCGCCCCTCCCTCTCCCTACCCTTAACCTCCTCCTCGCCACTCCTCTAATCATACCCCCCACCGCTCCTCCTCTCCCTCTCCTCCCTCCCCTCCCTCTCCCCTCCTCCCCCCTCCTCCCTCGCCCTCCTCTCCCCTCTCCCTCGCCCCTCCCTCTCCCCTCCTCCCTCGCCCCTCCTCTCCCCTCCTCCCCTCGCCCCTCCCTTTCCCCTCCTCCC